TAGACTTTTGGTAATCCCGAACCGCATGGATGTTCTTTAAATGATAAAAACCCAGGATCCCTATCATAGAAACAAACAGGGAATTGGAGGATGTTATAATGCAATGTCCTTCATGCTCAACACATGAACCAAACTGAACTGGGCGAATGACTGTCTTATACTGCAGCACCTTGAAAGACAGGTTCACAATTTTCAGGTCTGTCTTAAAGGTACAATGTGTAATACCTGGCCGCATGCTGGTGGTAAGAGAAAAAAATGTAGAGGTAGCAGAGGAACAAGACATTAGAGCGCGAGGGAGAGGGAGACCAAGCTCCTGCAGCAGCCCTCGGGGCAGCTCTACTTCTTCATCCTCTCTGATGAGGGCAGACTGGACGCTACAGTGACTCACTATCACCTCTTAAGGCACAGATGGTATTAAAAGACAGGACAGGCCAGGGTTAGCTGGTTAGTCTGCTAACTTCATCATGTTAGTTCATATTTTGAATGTTTTAAACTAAAATTCTGTCCAGATCTTACACATTGCAACTTAACAATAATAGTCAGATGACCACTTTTTTGCTTGCTGTTAATTCTTATAGCTTAAGATAAACTTTTGAATATATTTTTGCTCAGAATGAGGACTGCAAAGTTTGTCCCCCATTACTTGAAATCACTTTAGGAAGGGATCTCTTGATTTCCAATATGAACAAAAGGAATCATTACATCAAGCAAAACAGTGCACCTGACTGCTTTTTCAATGACGCTGGTGAATGAACTAGTTGCCTCTATCCTGAGTGACAGATTGCCATGGTAGCAACTTGTAAATCACAAGATAGCCCTAAAGCATAGCCTTCTTTATTGTCTATTTGCCTCTAAATGGGATCATAATTTAAACCTCATAAATAAACCTCATGTTGTACTAAAGAAGACTTTAAACTAGTGATTGAGACCATAAACTTATTAGGAAAGTGTTTACTGAGGTAATACATCAAGTGAGAAGTAGGGTCATTTTGTCCAGTGCAGTCCATTGCAACCAGTGGAGTCGCCCACTGCAGGCCATTAGAAAGAATACAGGTTGAAGTCACTTCTGCATTGGCTTCGTAAGGCCCGATGACAGGGCTTCAACCTCAATGCCTCTGCACAGTTGTCCATATCTGCAGAATACATATACTATGATATGTCATCACAAAGCCAATGGGGACCAACCACTTACAACCACTTAATAGCAGCGTGCTCCTCCTATCTCAATGCCAACCCTAGAGATGACCTCTGGAAGTCAATAAGGGCCATTAGTCTAGAGAGTACACCAGGCAGCACGTCATGGACAGTGAAGACAAAAGTATCCATGGAAATGTTATCATTTTAGGGGCTGAAGAACAGTGGATGAGAAGCAATGCTGAATGAACAATATTTGCTGGGAACTTAATCAATTCTAATAATTTCTTACACACCTAATAATTTCCAAACCTTCTATTCCAGTCTTTCAGTCAAGTTGTCATAATTACAAAAAAAACATTACAAACACAGGGTTTTAGGGGTTTCAAGTGATACTATGTCTTTTTAAATTATTTGCTTTATCTGAAAGAAAGGCATTTGCATAGAAATTGCTCCTTTCCTTGTGCAGGCCAGTGCCACACAACCCATCATGAAAATCAAATCAAACAACAGCAGAAGACTCAAATGAATGAGAGATTAGATGGTGAGGCTCCTTACTTCCGCCATTTTTGGAGACTTTATGCTAATTTACGCACAAATCTACGCTATGTTGTGTTGTACTGGACCTCTAAGCCTCTCTGATGTGGCGCATCTCAGCTGTGTCAATCGAAACATGGTTACCCAGATCAAACAGGAAGAGAACCTATTTGATTTCCAAAATAAAAGTGGAACGTTTGTCGTTTTTGAGAACAGGGGTGTCGATGCCTTTATCCATCTTCTGTAGCTGCTGATTTCTTCTCAGGGTTACGGGTAGTGATGCCTCTCCCAGCATGCATGATAAAAGGCTTGTTAACACGCAGGTTATAAAAATCACATGACCCCTTAAGGAGGTTTATGGTCATAGTTACAAGAAAACAAAAAAGACATAAATAAAGCTAGTTGAAATCTAACTGTGGGCAAATACAATACCACAACAAAGAAAAGTATAGCTCATATTTTAGTGTATATATATATATTGAAGTGAAGGAATAAAGGATGTATATAGGATGAAAAAATCTAATGTAGAATACATGCACACATTGCTTGTATCCTGTATTATAGTTTATCTAATTGATCTTGATGTCAATGCAGTGGAACATATTTCTTTCCTTGCTTGTTTACATGCAAAAGAAAATGGTGAAGAGCCTTATGGTCACGCTTCAAGGGCTTAGACACTGAATCAGCAGTGTATTATCTTTATGTCACTTTTATACACTCATTTGTCTTGATGGTCCAACTTTTGCTTTGGGCTTCATTTATTTTTTTAACTGTTGGCTTATGTTGTTAAAAAAACTGGGCGGACAAAATAATAGAAACACTGGAATAATTCAACAGCACCACAAACTGCCGTCTCCATAATGATTTGAATCAGCACCTCTCTAAAATTGTTTCAACACAAACTGAACATTAGAACCTTCATGAAGGAAGGTTTAACTGAAGGACTGTTGTATTAGACTGCATTAGATGTGTACCTCATAAAGCTATGGAGGACTGATCCTGACAGATTAAAAAATAAATACATACATAAATAAATGCTCAATAAATAAATAAAATTCCGATTAAATGCATAAAAAATAAAGTAAATACATTAAATAAATATAGGCAGTAATTAAATTATACAATGAGACATAAATGTATACAGTATATCTTTTAATTAGCTTCTTTATTTATTCACCTTTATAATAATTACCTTATTTATTTATTGTCCATTATCATCTTCAACTTTTTTATAAATTACTTCTTTTTTAAATGTATTTATTTATGTGTGTGTTTTATTATTTTTGTCTGTTTTATTCTTCTTTTGCATTTCTACCTCATTATGCAAATGAGGAGTGTCTGTGTCTCAAGTGGTGAACTTCTCCCCTATTCATAGTTTTCATGAGACACATTCCAAGGAAAACGCTCCCTTGGAGGGCAAAAAAGACGTTATTTTCCGCTGCCTTCCAGCCAATTAATACACTGTTACTTTGAGTTTGTTACTTTTTGCGTTGCCAAAATGCTGGATGGTTGTTGTGCTTTCGGATTTACTAATCGAGGAGGAGACAAGCCCGAGTTGTGTTAAGTACAATTTATACTTCTGTACTGAAACGACGGCGTAGCCTCTGTGTAGCCCCCTACCCTATGCCGTCACCTACGGCGTAGCCTGATGTGCAACTCCTCAAAAATGAAACTACACGTCGAGTCGAGGCGGACCGTAAGCTCTGTGATTGGTCGGCTGGGTAGCCTCACAATGCCTCCGAGCCAACAGGAAGTGTGGATGCTCTGACAGACAGTGTTTCAGTTTGCGGCTTGCACGGACACAGAACTGCGGTAAAGGGAGCTGTCGTTTGTGAGAAACACACAGTCAGCTAGTAGCAGCTAAATCTGGAGTGCACTTGTATCCGACCCTGTGGTAAATTCAGTTTGAACCAGTGCTTGAAGTGGGCTGGAACGCACTGGTACGCAGTACCGGCACCTCAACATTTTAATCTTTGGCGTACTGGGACTTCTCCCAAGCTGAAGGTTCTCTCCTCTGCCCTCTCCATATCAGGTTCTCTGGGTGCTACATGACGCTCACCTGCTCCTGTTCTTGCCTGCCTGCTAAACTCTGCAGAGAGACGAGGGAGAAGAGAAGCTCGGGTGACTTTCAAGCAGCCATGTAGCTCGTCAATGTGACTTATCGTGAACCGACCAATCACAGCCTGGATGGGGCAGGACATTTAAAATACTGACAGAAAGGCACCTATTTCTTTCCACTTCAAGCACCGGTTTTAACGGAGCAGAGCGAGCTAACGGGCAGGGTTAGAGACTATATTCTGTCAGTTTCTCTCTTTACAAAGACAAGTGTGCAGTCTGAGAGTCTCATCTGAAGAGAGACCATCAAATCTCAATAGGTGATACAACACCACAAACAACATACTTCATTATCAAATTACATCGGACTTTATGAAATTAGCACAAAGATACATGACACAACATCCGGTTTTCAAAATAAGGTGTTACCCCAACATATGAAAATAGGAGTAATTGGATTATGTTCACAGGAAGTATAAAACATATTACATGTGTCCATTAAAAGTGAAAAAAAACACAAAAAAGGTAAGGAAAATTACTTTATTCTTTCATTTTGGTTTTCTGGGAAAACATTACATAATTCCTAATGATGACTAGTCTATCACATTTGAGTTCAGGGTAACTCTGACTACATAAAGATTTTAAATCAAGCATTTTTGGCTTAAAAAGTGGCTGTTGAGTTGCTAAACACTTTAGCTCACTGAAGGAAGCCATTTGACTGTGTGAGGAGCAAGCTTGTTGATGTGTGCATAAAATCAACCTCTGTGGTCTGACTGGTCCACCAATAGGCAAGAAGTTCACCCCTTTGAGACACAGCCCCTCCTCATTTGCATAATGAGGCAGATATGCATAGAGAAATGTAAAAAGAGCAGACAGAAATAAATACCATTGGGGAAGTAAATAGGCTAGAAAATGCAAAGGAAGAATAAAACAGAGAAAAATATTGAAACGCAAGCATAAATAAATACATTTAAAAAATAAGTCATTAAAGTTGAAGATTACAAGGACATTAAATAAATCAGTTAATTAATACAAAGGGGAATAAATAAAGAAGCTAATTAAAAGAGATATATACATTTATGTCTCATTCTCATAATTACTGCCTACATTTATTTATTAACTTTATTTTTTGTACCTTTAATAGGATGCTTATTTATTTATTGAGCATTTATTTATTTATGTATTTATTTCTTAATCTGTCAGGATCAGTCCTCCATAATAAACTGATTGTATGTTACAATGAACTGCTGTTGATTCATAAAGGTTGTTGCAAAAGCTACGACCGGAACTCCGGTCTCTGTTTATTCTTCCTGACTTGATGTGGTGCGCATCTTATCGACCGAGAATACCGATTTCTGAACATTTCGGCCTTTTTCCCCGCTTCACCGAAGGCTGTGTTTTCCTGCAAGCGGCTGCAAAGGCGAGCGGGTTGCATTGTCGTCGCGGGGTTAAAGTGAAAGATTATATCGGTCAGTAGCCTATTATGACAAACGAAGATGACACACATCCAGAAGGAGCCGTATTTGTTTTGTATGGCGATATGAGGCAGGGGGTGGAGAGTCGCCACAGAGACGCTGGGCTCCGGCCAAACATCACCGCATTTTAGCACTTATTCGATGCTCGGGCTTTGCATTGCATTGCATTTGCTGCATCGTTGATCGGCCGTGTTTTTGCAGAGTGCATGGTGGAAAATGCAGCTTGTTTGAGGACAACCCCCCTCCAAATATCCATTGCTGCCATGATAGGCAGAGGTCTGCTCTCGACCGCGGCTCGGCCGGTTGGAGAAGAGGCAGACTGATTTGGGACGGTGGGTCGCATATGCAGATGTTATTCTGTCTGTGGAGCCTGTAAATAGCATCCGCGCAAACACACCGTGATTCTTACTCAGGGAAAAAGGAGAAAGAGAACATGTCTTCTCGGTCTGCATTACCGTCTGGAAACGACAGGAGTACTGGAGACCATGTAAGTGCAATTACAGCCTATAGCCTCTATTTGTGTGCATGTAGAAGATAAATCGTGCATCTCTAAAAAAATATCTCCTCTTTTGGCATTCATTGGGGTTTATTCACTGTGTAGATGTAGGCCGTAGATTGTGCTCTGGAACACATTAGGTGAAAGGACTCTGGAGGTGATACTGGATAGATATGTTAACAGAACAGCCTCTTTCAAAATGGGCTAACCTTGAGTGTCTGCGCAGGGAAAGAGCTGATTGCAGGCAAACAGCCCTGAATGAGTCCATCCGCATACGATAACACTCAATGGATGTGCGCAGAAAGCCTGAAAACCAGCCGTCACCTCTTATTATAAGGCTATGGAGAGATAGTGATGTCACATTATACTCCTTGCTGCTGCTGCTGCTGCCCGTGTGTGTGTGTGTGTGTGAGTGTGTGCGTGCATGTATTCCCCAGAAATTGGATGGGTGGGACGAGAGCACAGCAGGCCAAAATAAATGTGTAGAGAATATCTGGGTTGTTCCTATGAAGCAAGGGGATTACTGCGTAAAATGATGTGCAGTCCATTGCTGCGCAGCCTACAAAGCGCCCAGCCCCACAGCCAGTGGGTGTCAGACAGCGCCATACATTTAGTACAGTGGAAAACAGTAGCGGCCTGCTGTAAGGAAAGAATGGGGGGGGGGGGGGGGTTATTCATGTGGGACAAACAGAATATAACATGGTCTGCATATGTATGACTGTCAGTATCTATCTATCTCCTTATTGATGTATATCAAAATGGTGACATGATTGATTGACGTTGCATTATGTCATTTCACTGGCCTAAACACTTCTAGCAAGACCTCCCATCTGTTTGTTAGCAGAGCTTTCAGCACAGAGGGATGGTTAAGCCAGTAGATGTGTGTGTGTGTGTGTGTGTGTTTGTGTATGCGAGTGTGTAACTGGATGTGCATAAGTGTGCGAGGTTTACGAGGTGCATGATTGATTATGAATGCAGATCCGCTCCTACCATTAGAATGGATCTCGATCTGCTGTCATCACTCTACAATTAAGTGATGATGACAGATGAGTGAGTTGACCAGGCGAAATGTGTTGCCATGTTGGCACAGGTGAGGCTTGGCTTCATGTGCCCCTTACAGTTGGTGGATTAATGTAGTCCGCGGCTTTCTGGGTATGCCTCCTGTGCTGTTGTTTGGGACTCATATCTACGGTGTCTATTGTAGAGGGAGGGTCCAAATAGGCTTTAGGTGGGGCGTGAGAACAGGGATGGAAGCATGGGAAGGAGGGACTGTCTGTAGGTGGGGCTTAAGGGTGTGTTTTTTGTGTTGTATGTGTGTGCGTGTGAAGCTGAGAGCAAGATGACATGCTGGGGGGATGGCAGTGTGATGCCTGAGGGCCTGGGACCGGCCAGGGACCACTGTGCCGGCATCTGCTCCCTTTTTTACTCTTTCCTTTAATATTCCTCTCTCCACTAATTACCCCTTCTCTGTTTGTCTCATTTGTTTCTACCCCTTTTCCATCTGATATCCTGATTTCTCTATCTCCTGCTATACCTTTTGTTTTCCTCGCCCCAGCCACCTTCCTCCTTTTTCCTCCTCTCCATGTTTGCTTGGTTTGTCACATGACAAGAAGCTGCTTCATACTGTAATACATCCAGCCTTGTTGTTTTTCCTCCTTTTGTCTTCTGCATTGCTTCCTGGCTGAAAATGATCTGTGACTCAAACTTTTGACTCTATCACTGCTGCACAACTGTGTTCTGAAGCTTTAGGGTACAGACTCAAGGTGGTAGCATGCAGCAGCAGCACAGCTAACTGTTTAACGGCTGTCAGCCCTTCAGGGCTACCTCAGATTTCAGTGAAAGTATTACCCTTATAGTAATAGTCATATCACATAAAGACATCTTCCAGCAGTCGAGCAGTAGACCTCTAAAGAAGATGATCCTGAAGCCATAATGGAAAAAATATGTTCAAGTGTTTATTTGCTGCACAACAGGTGTTAACCCAGAAATGAGGGGCATGTGTTCACATGTAGCTCAGCTCAGCGTCGCCTCTTTTTGTGTGTATGAAACAGACATCAGGTTGAATGATTCTGGTGATGTGCCAAAACAATCCCTCGATAAAGCTGGCCTGCTTATTGTACACATGTTTACCTGTGCAGTTAGTATGTCTGCGATATACACTCACCTGTGAAACAAATAGCTGCCCAGTGACTTCCACAAATACAGCAGTGTTCCCTGGACCTTAAAACTGTTTAGATGCTGCCTAAAAACAGCATATGGTCTCCATATTCTGTGGAGTTCATAACCAGCTTACAGAGACAGAAGGGACTAATGCAGATCATTCTGCTTCTGGAGACAATCAGTGCTCCATAGGTACAGGCAGCCCTGGAGGTGCTTTGCCAGGCTACTGCTGCTGCTGCTCTATGCGATATTGGTGTTCACACAGCGAGTGACCACTTCCCCTCTCTCCTTAAACCCCCCCCTTTAATTTTCTTCCAGCATGTGTCACTGGGGGCCAGCCGCTCAGACAAGGCCACCAGCCAGTCCAGCCGCTCGTTGGGCGCCCGGTGCAGGAACTCCATTGCTTCCTGCTCCGACGAGCAGCCGCACATCGGCAATTACCGACTGCTCAAAACCATCGGCAAGGGAAACTTTGCCAAAGTCAAGTTGGCCCGCCACATCCTGACGGGCAAGGAGGTGAGACACAGGGCATCAGAGGTCTAGGGTAGGAGGAGGGAAGGAGGAGATGGATGATTAAGAAACACTGGGGTTGACAGGGCGAGGAAAGGCCACAGTTGATGTTACTGGTGTCCTGAAGATGTGATTTGGTCCAGTATTTAGTCTAAACATATGTTGAAAAATGTTGCAAAGAAGTAGAGTAGATTGTGGTGTTAATGACATCAATAGGAAAGTCTTCGGGGTATTATTTATGGAGGCTGTTCTAATGATGATGTGCTTACTTTTTGTTCAAAAATGTCTTAATGTCTCTTTCAGGTTGCAATAAAAATCATTGACAAAACTCAGTTGAACCCAACCAGCCTACAAAAGGTGAGTTTTTCCTCTTTATACTGATGGAGTCCCATACATCATGTCCCCAGGTACAAAAATGAAACACGTGCTACATGGTCTTATTCTATCTGCCTTCATAAGCAGCAGCCAGGCATCAGAAATGTGGATGATTGGTCACATTGATGCAATTCAACAAAATACCAATGTATGCCGTTGGGGACTTGCAGAGGTTCAGGTTTATCCTCAGCTGTTCCTTCCTCAGAGGGGGCAGGAAGGAGAGAGCAGCTGATAGAGAGAGGGCTTGTAGGATGTGATGCTGTTTGGCAGGTGCTAGGGACTGGATGGGAGCGAGAGGAGACCTCTGCTCCAGAGATCATCTCTCGTCTCTCTCTCAGGGCTAATCACTGCCCTGAGAGGGGGTGACTCATCTCGGAAACCGCGGCCACCCAACCCATCGTTTTTTGTGTTTGTGTTCTTAATTTGTCTTCCCTGAACACACGTAGCTCTGGATAACAAAGAAAACCGTTGGGTTTGGTGGCCATTTCTTTGTGAGAGGTGTCTTTCGAAAAGCTGGAGTGTATGTCACAGGGAGGGCTTTTAATGGACTGGCTTCTTTTTTCCTGCTGGTCAGCATGTTGAGTGCTAAGCCTGAATGGTGGACACTCAAGGTTTGTTGTGCATGAAGGTCAGAGACGGAGCGGTGGACACTTTGGGTTTGCCAGCTATCAAGGGCAACCTCTGCGTGGGGCAGACACACAACTGACTCAGATTCAGGAGCTGGAATGGTAGATATGTCCAGGCACAACATGGCTGACATGAAGACCATTTGATCATGGGTTGATCCCAAGTTCGGATGTCTCCATCCGATCTCCCAACCACATCAATAAAGCACTTTTCTGCCCTGTCACGTGTGCCTGATGTAGTTGGATCACACAAAGTCAGGCAAAGAACTATCTCACAGTGATGGAAAACATACAGAGACAAAATATGCAGTCAACCATTCAGTCAGCCCATATTTGTCCATAATGCTGCTGATATGCACATATACGGATCAAATTAGAGATAAAATGATTGTTCTTTATATGTGTGCGTGCAATTCAGTTTGACGTTTGATGTATGTGTGTCTTGCTAGAAGACCTGCATTTCTTCACATGGGATGTAGAATTAAAGTAGCAGAGGCATAGCTGGATTACTTGGCCACCTTAAAGAATATTGCTTGGGGAATCCCGTAGTTGTGTCGTACATCCTACTGGAAATGTTGTGGGACCCCAGAATTATTACTATCTTTCACTTTACTGGTAACAACATTGTAAAAATTCCCAAGAAGATTTACCCAGAATAAAAAGCGACTAAAGAAAATAATCCTTTGATTATATATATATTTTTTTTTTCATTTGACTTGTTTTTAGGTAAATAATATTTTCCTTAATCTCTGTATTTACGGTGCAACGATAGCAATGACCTTGGGGTGTTAGAGTATTATTAAGGCTTACACATAAATGCAAGTTCTCATTGTTTTCTTTTCCCATAGCCATCCGTTGCCCTTTTGATCACTGGCTTCCTGTAATCCTGATACTTTGACTCATCGTATTTCTGGTGCTTATGTCATGTCAGAAAATTGATTTTCTGTACATTACCTGGCTAGAATATTTGATGCCTTGCGGGAACTGTAATCCAAATTTGTATTTTATCCCATCTGGTGCTTTTCTTGGACCGAACTGGCTGCTTTGAGAGACAACTGTACAACATTTATGACAGGATTGAGGAGAGAGGCGAGGGATTGGCCACTGATTGGCGAGAATACTCTACAATTGGCGATGATAGCAGGCTTCTTTACATACCCGTGGGCTAGAGAAAATCCTTAGGACTGAAGACATGAAAGAGCCCATATTAACATAATCTGGACAGTAATGTATGTAGAGGGGAAACGGAAAGAGGGAAATGTATTGTACAGGGTAAAAGAGGGGGAGGGAGGAAAGAAAAGGTAAGTGAAATCACAGATGAGAAACTCAAACTTCAACATTTGTGAAGAAGGACTTCTTATAAGAGGAAATAGCATAATACAGGAGAAGATTTCTATACTGGCCTCTCTGATGTTGGAGGACACCTGAAAGTGTCTTTAACTGTATATTTTTTTGTGACACATCCAAGCTGAAAATTATATTTTAATACAATTTGTTTCCATCAGCTTAAAGACAGGAGCCTTATTGCCACTAGGCATGTGTTTCAATCTCTTTCAGCTTTATCGTAGGATTGCTATTTATTTGCGGTCAGTAACGATGACCATGTTCAACGTGTTCCTGGGGTCGAAGATGTTCCCGGGGAACATTGTTTTGACGGACCTGACCGCTCAGCTCTGCAGTGACGAGTAGGGAATTAATGGGACACCTGGATGATGCTTCAGCACTACATATCCCAAGATTCCCTCCAGCACAGCTGGAGAAACCGGTCTTAATACCTGGGTTGCTATGGCAACAGTGACGTTGGGGCACTGTTAGAGGAGAAGACTGCTGGAGGAATTGAATGAAGGAGGAGGGAATGGAGGGAGACACATCAGAAAATAGGAGAGGGGGAGGATTGAGAAAAGAGGATAGAAAAGCTTATTGCGCCATCTTTTTTTTCCCAGTTGGAGTTGACGATGTGGGGGAGAGTCAGTGGTTTTTAGCAATGGCCTTTTGTTGATGGAGTGTACTGTTTTATACATAAAACCAGGGGAGCTGGCTCAAATGTAATCCCCTACTCTGCTCTGACAGAAGTATACAAATATATCTTCGACAGTAGACATATCACACGCAGTGAGAAGTGCACAGACAGAGTAGAAGTTGGTGTGTCAATTTTTACAGGTTCACCACATTTGTATGTTGTTGTTGTTTTAAATGGTGAGGAGGTTTTGTTGGTTGTTGTCACCCTCTCAAAATCTAATTTGAATGAATATCAGAGACAAAAGTTTAAATTTGTCTTCTTATACTGGTCCTCTCTCTCATCTCATCTCTCATGCATTCTTTGTTTTATTTCAACACCAGAATTTATTGCATTGATGGTGTGCTATAAAGACTAAGCCATTTAAAGGTTCAGAGTGTAATATTTAGGAGGATCTATTGACAGAAATGCAATATGATATATATAACTTTTGCTTTCAGTAGTGTATAAAGACCTTAAATAATAAGCTGTTATATTTTTATTACCTTAGAATGAGCCATTTCTATCTGCATAACTGCATCCCCTTACATGTTGCGTCGCCATGTTTCTACAGTCACCCAAACCGACAAACTACTCTACAGAGCATGTTTCATCACTAAGTTGAATATGTACGAAAAACAAGCAGAAGTAGTAGTAGCTGTAGTCATTTGGTTTATTAGAAGTAAGAAGAGAAGTGAAATTTAGACAAATACAGGACCACATGTATTATTTATTTAAAAGAGCCGACAGAGCGCATCGTCCACCATAGCGTCTCCTCCATGCTTGCAAAGGGAAGGGTGAGCGGTGACTGCATTCATGTGGTGTTGGAATAATAGGATTTTCTTTTTCCTCCTTAAATCTTTATTGCAAAAAGAGGAAGTGTACAGTATCTCAAAAAAGATTTTTGTAAATAATTGATTCTATCTTTTCATGTGACAACACTGAAGAAATGACACTTTGCTACAATATAAAGTAGTGAGTGTACAGCTTTTATAACAGTGTAAATTTGCTGTCCCCTCAAAATAACACATCACACAGCCATTAATGTCTAAACCGCTGGCAATGGTGTAAGAAGTGTATGATTCAACTGTTTCCCATGGTGTTAAAGGTGTTAAAAAAGAAAACCACAAGCTAATAATTTTGGGGACAGTACATTAATCTTTCTAATGAACTCCAAAAGGGACTGAGGACAAATTCTGATTGCTGAAGACTCAGTACAAGTTGAAACCTGGTAAAAGGAGAGATTTAAGGGTAAGCAATGTAGTAAATTATTGAGTCCACCTCATGTTTGACACCACAGTAAGAGCTGCATGGATGTCTGATTTTTGTACTGCAATTGAAATTCTTCTGGCTCTAATAAACCCAATTTAAAGGCTTGTTGACAAAAAAGATTATGACTTGGAGGATTCACAAAACATTAGTCTCAATTTATACCAAAGAGTTGTATATCTGTTCCTCAGACAAGAAGGCTATCACTCCCTGTTTGTATGTCAGCAGGTAAATTTAGTGGACAGCCTTTTTTTGGCCTCAGACATTTGATGATCATTCACATCTGAGATTCAGTGGACTTTTTTCAGGCTGAACTGTAAAAATAATCAAGATTAAGAGATTAAAAGTTTATGTTTATAAGACGTCATTTTAACATCAATTTGAAAAATAGGAATCATTGCAAATGTTGTGACATGCAAAAGTATGACAGAGAGGAGGAGCACACACCAGTGTTGCCAACCACAGTGCAAGTACAGGACTACTGTTTAATGTGTGTTTCACTCTCATTCAGCTCTTACAGTAAGTAAGTCACAAGATCGCTGACGTAATCTGTACTCTGCGCATGCGTTGGCGTCTGTAGCTACCTGACGGAAGCTCCGTCTTAAACCTGACTCTTATCCAGTTTTAATCCACACTTTTATGTTACATTTTTTATATCCTTTTTATTTAACTGAAGTTTTTAACTTAAGTTTTACGTGGGTTAAGGATTTTAGTCATCCGATTAGTCATGGATTTTAAGCTAGATGACCGTAAAAACGCTATCAACGCTACTGACCACAACAAAGCTCCAGCGACTAACGTTATGCTAGCCGAGATAACTTTGCCCCATGAGGACTGCACACTCCTTAAGAAAGTGAACAAAAAGATTGCTGACCTTATGGAAGACATCCAACGACTTTCAGAGGAACTCAAAGAGAAATATTCCCTGCTGACTGGCTTTATGGATGTGGCTTCAGTACAAGCCAAACAGATTGTTTCTCTTAGCGCAACCGCTAACATCCAGGACACCGTGCTGTGGGACCCCTCTGACCTTCCAAGGCTTCCCTCCTGTTCGACTCCGAAGCATCAGTCAACCTGGGCTGAAGTGGTGGTCCGTGGCTGCAAGAGAGGCTCGGACGGGGCTGCCTCTCCTCCGCACATCGGCCTCTCCAACCGCTATGCAGCCCTGTCTGACGACACTCAGCAGTCCTGCTCTGGAACCCCACAACCGGCATCTCCTCGTCCCCTTTTCTCCCCAACCACACTAATAATCGGTGACTCCATAACCAGAAACATCCGTTTCTTTAACGCTACCACTCACTGCCTCCCTGGTGCCACCACGGCTGACATTTAAAAAAAACTCCAGGACCTGATGCCATCGCTCCCGTCCTCCATCACAAGAGTGATAGTCCATGTGGGAACAAATGACACAGCTCTTCAATTCAGATTTTAACCCTCTTTTTAACTTTTTAAAGCAGTGTGGAAAGTCCGTTTTTATCTCCGGTCCCATTCCCACAGTTGGTCGCGGTGCTGGCCGCTTCAGTAGACTCCTTGGACTCCACGACTGGCTCCAGTCCGTCTGCAGGGCTCACGGTGTGTGTTATATTGATAACTTTAATATTTTCTGGCAAAGAATGTCTTTTTTTAAGACAGACGGACTTCACCCAAACAAACGGGGCTCAGAAATGTTAGCTGCGCACATACAGCATGTGGTGCGGTCCACACATGACTTACGTGAATGACTAATCATTGATGCAGCACACCTGGACACACCACCGCTCACTGAACAGATCTCTGCCTCACTGCCACAAACAACTGTCTCCACCTGCTGGCATGTAAAGCCGTCTGCTCCCAGCGCTGTTCCACAGACTTCTATTCCTGTCATCATCACGCATAGACCAGTAAACCGAAATGTGCACATCCCACACAGAAATAATAGTAATCTCTTAAGGATTAGGACAACTGCACCAACTCAACACCCAAAACAAACTCATTTCAAATGGCTCTCTATGTGAGATCTCTGTCAAGTAAGACTTTTATCTTAAATGATTTTATCTTGTCTGCAAATCTAGATTTTATGTTTTTAACTGAATCATGGTTGCAAATGAATGACTATAGCCAGCTAGCTGAACTGTGTCCGCCTCAATATGATTGTTTTAGTCAACCGAGGGTCAGTGGTCGTGGTGGTGGGTTAGTGAGCGTGTATAGGAAAAATTTTAAATGTCATCAAGTAAGCTTTGATGAATTTAACTCCTTTGAAGTTCTCACTCTTAAACTTGGAGGGCTGCAACCTATCATATTTGTTATAATTTATCGCCCCCCAAAACCGCCTGGAGGATTTTTATTAGAACTTCCTGAATTTTTATCTACTCTGGTTTTAAATTATGACAGAATTGTTCTTTGTGGCGATTTTAATATTCATGTTGATGAATATTAAAATCGCCTCAGCTGGAAGTAATGATGACTGTGAATTGTTTTTATCTTATTTTACCAATGGTGTCAGTCAGAGCCTCTATTACCCCCACGGCCTCTTACTCAGAGGTCCCTCACCAGCAACAAGAGAGTCTTAACCAGTTTTATCTCATCGACTTGTCTGAGCTTTTAAAAACAGTATCACAAATGAGAGTGTCCTCCAGCCCACTTGATGTAATACCTACAAAGTTTTTACTGAAAGTAATGGATTCTGTTGGGCCCCATTTGATCTCTGTTTTGAACAGCTCCCTATCTACTGGTTGTTTCCCTGATTATTTTAAAACGGCTTGTGTGAACCCGCCTTTAAAGAAGCCTGGTTTAGATCCCTCCCTCCCACAAAATTTTAGACCAATTTCAAAACTGCCTTTTTTTGCAAAGATTCTAGAAAGAATTGTGTCCAAACAGCTGCTCACTGTACTGGAAAATAACAAATTATTTGAAAAGTTTCAGTCTGGTTTCAGGAAGTACCACAGCACTGAGACTGCCCTGCTTAAAGTCACCAATGACCTTTTAATGTCTGCTGATGAAGGTATGTGCTCAGTCCTGGTACTCCTGGACCTTAGTGCTGCTTTTGACACCATTGATCACAACATCATGTTAGACAGACTGAGGCACTGGGTGGGGATCTCTGGTACTGCCCTAGAATGGTTTTCATCCTGCCTGTCAAATAGGAAGTTTTGGTGTCTGTAAACAACTATGTCTCTTCGTTCTGTCCAGTTAAATATGGTGTGCCTCAGGGGCCGGTCTTAGGACCCATTTTATTTTCCTTGTATCTGCTTCCCCTTGGACATATTATCCATAAACATGGTATTTCTTTTCATATTTATGCTGATGACACACAAATGTACTTGCCCATCAGATCCACAGACCCTGGAATGCTGAGTTCACTTAACAACTACCTTTGTGAAGTTAAAAAATGGATGTCAAATAATTTCCTCCAGCTGAACTCAGACAAAACAGAAATCCTGGTCATCGGGTCCCAGCAGATGGCAAAATATATACTGCCATCTGCTGGTTCCCTAGTAAATCAGATTAAGCCTGTTGGAAAGAACCTTGGTGTCTGGTTTGATAGTAATTTAAATTTCGAGCAGCACACCACAAAGCTTGTACAATCATGTTTTTATCAACTTAGAAATATAGCAAAAATTCGATCTATGTTAACTTTTAAGGACACCGAGACCATTTTACACGCATTCATCTCATCACGCCTGGATTATTGCAACAGCCTTTTCACTAGTTTAACCCATAAATCTACTGATCAACTCCAGACTGTCCAGAACTCAGCTGCCAGGCTTTTAACCAGATTCAAAGAAATATGACCACATCACATTTTAGCTTCATTACACTGGCTCCCAGTGTGTTTTAGAATTGACTTTAAAATGTTATTGATCACTTTTAAAGCTCTTCATGGCCTCTCGCCTTGTTTATTTCTGACCTTTTAGTCCCATACGCACCAGCACATACCTTGAGATCCTCGGGCAGAGGTCTGCTGTCTGTTCCAGAGTCTCGACTGAAAACTAAAGGGGACAGAGCGTTTGCTGTCAGGGCCCCGAGGCTCTGGAACAGCCTGCCCGAGGAAATCAGGTCGACTGAGTCAGTGAACTTCTTAAAACATACTTTTATAGAAGAGCGTTTCCCGATCTTATTTGACTTTATTTTATCCCTTTTATTTTATTCTATTTTACTTATTTTATATTTATCTTAAACGTGTATTTTGGTCTTTTCAATGTTTACTTGCTTGTATTCTTTTGGGTATTGTATTGTTGTCTTTGCACTTGTTGAAGCACATTGTAACTTGTTTTTGAAAAGTGCTCTACAAATAAAGATTATTATTATTATTATTATTATTATTATTAAGTACGGGTGTGGAGGAACATAGTCACACTCTTCATACCCTGTCTTTAGGTCCCAGAATTCACATGACCCCAGAGAGTTGTCAGGCTGTCATGTGATTTTAGGGACCTAAAGATCGGGTCAACTGCCAGAACATAACAAACCCCACCTCAACGCGAAAGAACATACATGGTTCTCTAAAGTGGAAATGTATTCTTTGCCATGGACATGATGTCCTCATTGCTACACTTAAAAAACATATTTATAGCAATGTGGAGGGAAAATGTTAAACTCATGCTGCAACACAAGATTTATTTCTGTCTAACATCAAGTTTGAAAAATTCTCTTTTTTCTTTCCAGCTCTTTCGGGAGGTACGAATAATGAAAGGCTTAAATCACCCAAACATAGGTAAGGCACATACATACATCTCAATGGGCTTTTTGTTTGTGTGTTGAGTGTGTATCTATGCATGTGTGTTTGGCTTCCGTGTGTGACCAGGCGGAAGTATAATGTTAGTTATAATGTAATGACAGTGATGAGTTCGATTTACAGTATAAAAATAATAAGCTTAAAGCATTCATTGAACGAACTGTAGCAAGTGACATCTCTGGGCCCATATAGAGTTCACAAGGTTGAATTTTCTAAAGCTGAAGTGCCATATGGATCAAAGACCCCCCACAGCATTAGCAGCAGGCTGCTTGGTATTAAGACAGACATGTGCAAATGATTATTTATAATATAAGCAGGATTTTTTTTAATATATATTTGATTTTAATCTGATTCTGTTTTGGCCTACAGTGCAGCTGTTCGAGGTGATTGAGACCGATAAGACCCTTTACCTGATCATGGAGTATGCCAGTGGAGGTGGGTATATCGGCCGTCATGTCCAGGAAATGCTATGAGTACAAATGATGCATACAGTTAAAGTTTTGGTGGAACTGTTGGAATTTTCCGTGTATGCAATCAGTATTTGGGTCATTCTACAGTTTAGTTCCTCCATTTGAATCCGTGGTGAAACAAAGTCACTGAGGGTAAAACATCTGAGGGGTTTTCCCTCCATATCTGAAGTACAGTTTAAATGAAAAGTTCAAAATTTTGGAAAATACATTCTTGCAGACACTTAGATGAGAAGATCAAAATCCTCCTGTCAGACTCCTGTGTCTGTATGCAAAATATACTGTAAAACCAGAGTCAGTCTCTGGCTTAGCTTAGCAGAAACAACTAGAAGCAAAGGAAAACGGCTAGGTTTAGTTTTTCCTTTTTCACTTTATTACTAGAATAACATGTACATACAGCACAACATATGTACAACCAAAACTAATTATTGTAAGGATATAGCCAGTGCAGATATAAATATAAAAATAAAACAATAAATAACGTGACATATAATCATTTTTATTTTCTAGCTTTAAATGTTCTCTATACGTTTATTTAAATAACTCAAAATGAAGTGGACACATGAAGAATCATTGTACCCTTTTCTTTATCTTTTTCCACTGTGTTAAACAAAAATGTGGGGCCCCATCTTGCACCTGCCGCAAAGTGGCGCCCAGCGAAGCGCAAGTATCATCGATAGTTTCCAACCGATGCAGTTGTCAGTTTCACGCCCAGTGCCCACGTTGTGTAAGTGGCATTTGCGCTCATTTGTGCGCCCATGGGAGTGTTGGACTTAAAATGAGGTGTGGTCAGGCAAATTGTTGGTACATTGCTATCTTGAAGCAGCAGAAAGCGATTTCGCCATTGACCAGACAGAAACCTGGTCAAAAGTCAATGGTGCAGTGTTTCCCTGTTATTTAAAGGGTGCATTATTCAGATAGTAAGATGCGTCTGCATAGGCGGGTTCTAGTGATTTGCAGATCACAGTTATATCTACAGATTGTTTGGGTGTGGTCATAAAAATTATCAGATTTATAGCAGGTGGGTTGCGGATGGGCAAAATAGAGTGAATCGTCGCATTTACACATGAGACAGGATCAGTCAGAAGCACTGACAGCAGCATCTTTAATTATTACAGTAAATCATTAAATAAAACACTCATACCTCAATACAACACACAATTAAAAAATCACAAGTAAGACAGAGATGTGACCCACGACCAGTTCATTATAGTTTATAAAAATGCAGCGCAGTGAGGATTCAGGTGTTACATAGAGGAGAGGAGCATATATAACCTGGAACAGTTTTTTATGTGTATTTTTTTAAACAGTTTTTATAATGTGCCATTCATGCACCATTTAAATAGCAATGCGGCAAGGTATAAGCGCACCTGGCTTTTAAAGGTAATGGGAGATGGCATCCTGGTTGGTTTATTGCATGTTACGCCCAAACACACCCAAGATTAATTTAGAGACTAAATACAACCATATTGAATCATGCGCCTGGCACACGGACTATTTTTTCCACTGTTACACCCTAAAGGCACCTGCACCATGCATTTCATGTTGTTTGTTAAAATAGGGTTCAATTAATTGTTAACAGTTTTAGGAGTTCTATGCCTCTGTGCTTTTGCCAGATAGTTATTTTAGTCTTTGCCCATCCATAGAGACAGTGGGACAATGTAGTCAACATAAGATGTTTTGTGGACTCTCCCCTAATAGGTGTTGTACAGTTCTACATTCAAACCTAATAGAGTATGGAGCCGCAACATAAATAACCGAGCAGCCTCAGTTCAGTAATAGCGCTGCTGTTTAAACTGACTTTAAACACAATTTGAAGAGTAATGCCAGCACGTTGCATCTAATGCGGCTCTCCCTTTCTTTTTGCTTCCATTAGTCTCTTTTATGTTTCTATTTGTGTCCATTTCTTGTAACCAATCCCTTTTGCCTGTGTTCTGGCCCAAACCATATCGTTTGCTCACTGTGACCTTGGAAAATGTCATAGACACTGTTTCAAATGTGGCCTTCTTTCAAGCCCATATTACTTTAAGTCAGAGATAAAAAGACCATAAGGAGGTAGTCGTGACCAAAACCAAAATGTACTATGCTTCTTCTTCTTCTGCTGTTAGGTGTCACCTCAGCGATATCTTTATATTTAGTTAAGTGTGTATTATATACAGCAACAGTTCGCTGTTAATCCAAAATCTAGCAACAAAGTAATGGTATTAAAACAACACCTAAGGGCTGTAGAAAAATATATTGTGAGGGGTTGCGGGGACAGGAAAGGAATGGTGTTACATTATCTTTCTTAAGGGGAATGTAGTCATAGTATTTTAGTGAGAGCGTCTCTTTCTTATCCCAGATTTATATATATTTTTCTTCCCATTTTATTTAAAAAAACATATTTATTCTTTAGGGATGCCCTGACTTAAGATTTAAATAATTTAATTAACTTTTGTTGTTTTGTTCATTTATGTTTGTTTATTTAAGTTTCAGGGCTGAGAAAGAATGTCATCAGTAATATCTGCTGCATTACAGAGAAATACAAAACCCTAATAAAATATCAATTTTACAAGGGGCACAAATGAGCCGCCTGTTAACGATGAGCACTAATGATTCTGAATGTGTCGGAACAACCAGCAAGGTGACTAGACAACAAAGTCTTCACAAGAACAAATACTCGCAGACTTATCAACACGATGGATGATGTATAACGTTACTTACAAACTGACTTGCTATAAACTTGCTTCTCCTCCGCTTGGTGCCTCTCCTGTCCCTGCCTGAAACGGCCGTGTATTCATCGTCCCCGCAGTCCAAGTCCTTGTCAGAGCTCCTGTAAATCTCCTTATTCTTATTGGTGGTTAACAGGAGGGTCCAAAGAAACTATTAATAACATTGGAGATGGACCTGCTTTTTTATAACATTAAATCTAAAATTCAACCCCAACCCACTGCACCTCATCTGTATGCAGAAAAGCTGTTCAGTCATTAACAAGAGTGAAAGCTCATGCTGCAGCAATGAAAAAGATGGTCTGAATCCATAACACCAAATTTATATAAGATGAATAATGATCTACTGTATGGAGGTTTAACAATGGTGCATACACACACATTTGATGTAGTCCGGAGTTTTGATTTTATTTTTTTAAATATCACTGTTGTGTAAATCTGAATAATCAGTACAGGTCTGAACATGTGACAGCATAACATGAAACCTGCAGTACATTTAGACATCATGGATAATGGGTGTATGTACTTGCGGTTTTATGTTATACAGTTAATGATATATATTGATAGATTTGTAGTAATATGTGAGCAGTGGGTTTTGTTTTACAGTATTTATTTCATTATTTTTTTTGTATTTTTTTTTAGAGCTTGACATTTTGAAAAATGCGCTTATTACATGTGACATGAGAAAATTTACACCACTCTCGTCATTAGCTTACCTTGCATTAAATACTGGAAACAGGAAGGGAAACTCGCCTTGTTCTGTCAGAAGATAACAAAATTATACAAAAAGTAATGTTATGTGATCTTTTTTGTGTAATCATGTTTTTTTTTTTTGCTTTTGTACAAATTAAAGTGAGGTAATTGTGGTATAGTTAATGTAGTGTAACGGTAGCACAAATAGAGGAGTCTCATAATGCCAGCAAACACACCCAGTAATGTCACTTCCACAACAATATCTGCCTAACCCCTGACTACTGAACTGAGCAGAGGTGCATTTTGTTACTCGTACTTTTAAAATATATATAACTTTTAAATTCTGAAGATGAAGGTGTTATTTCTTACGGTACATTGTCTAACTTAAATAAAACAAGATATGACGTGTTTGTGAGTGAGCTGTAAAGGTACTTGTAGGTGGATTTTGTTACCTTTAGACAGAGCCGGGCTTGCTGACCGGCTGCAGCTTTATATTGAATGGACAGATATGAGTCGAATCAATCTTCTCATCTAACTCTCTTCAAGAAAGCAAATTAAAGGATTTCCCAGGATGTCAAACTATTCTTTTAAGGCTGTGCGCATTCTGTGTTTTGCGTGGCTACAAGAGAAATTTTGAAGCTGACACCTTTACAGCAATAACCACATTGATGTGTATGAAATTGATTGTGTATATCGGCAGCATATAATGAAATAATGTATGGCTGCTCTGCTTCTGGCTTAATGACCTGACTTATCTGTCTGTCTGCTGTGCAAACTCACAGGTGAAGTGTTTGACTACCTCGTGTCTCATGGGAGAATGAAGGAGGTTGAAGCCAGAGCCAAATTTCGACAGGTACAAAGACTCCTCCTTCTTGATGCCCACATTGTACCAAACCTCAAATTGAATTGCCAGTACTTCAGCTTTGTCTGTCTCCTCGTGTTCACAGATCGTTTCTGCTGTCCACTACTGCCACACGAAGAACATTGTCCACAGAGATCTGAAGGTGAGAAAGCTCAGAAGATGTTTTGGGCTGCTTTCAGAATCGGCGGATTAAGGCTAGTCCGGGACTAGGACATTTCTTTCACTGACAGATTACACTGAACAGAAAGTTATAATCTGGGACTAGTCTTAATCTCTGTCTGTGAAAAGGGCCCTTTAGCATCTTAATCGCTTAGTAAAGCAATGATGAGTGGAGAGACTTGTTTTTTTTCCAAGCTGGTAAGGGTAGGAGGCAGTCAGAGCCTGCTCCTGTTCTAATAGATTATTACATTCCTAAACACACACAGTGACATATCTACAGTATGAGTCACGTCCACTATCTGTGTTGTTGGACAACACACAAGCGCCACCCCCCTCCCTCTCGGTCTCTCATTCGCCCTCTTTTTTCTTCATCACAACTCATGTTCTTGTCTCTTACTTTCTCATTCCTCTTTCTCCTCCCCCATCCAACTATTTTCTCCACTCCCCCCCCCACCCCTCCTATTCCCACCCCAACTTGTTCTCTGTATACATCCCTTGCTCCGTCCTCCCTGCCTCCTGCTGTCCATCCTGCCTCCTGCTCCTCTGCATCAATGTATGTATGACTCAGGCGGAAAACCTTCTGCTGGATGCCGATGCCAACATCAAGATCGCCGACTTCGGCTTCAGCAACGAATTCACGCTGGGCAACAAGCTGGACACGTTCTGTGGCTCGCCGCCCTATGCTGCCCCCGAGCTTTTCCAGGGCAAGAAGTATGATGGGCCTGAGGTGGACGTCTGGAGTCTCGGAGTCATCCTCTACACTCTGGTCAGCGGCTCGCTGCCCTTTGATGGACAGAACCTGAAGGCAAGTGGATGGGGGAAGGGACTGTCTGTCTGTCTGGGTACATTCAGAGGCAGGAGTTCTGCCACAGGGGGTTATGGTAACAGTAATGGGTTTACATACAGTATGTTGAAATGCATAGTTACCAACAACCAATCTGCACCCCAGAAGTAATTTGTAATGAACATTGTAATATTTTCTGTTCCTTTCTGTTTCCAGAACCATTCTGTTGTGCTGTGTGAAAACCATGTAGATTACAGTGTGCCTTATTGAGCATCATTTTGGGGCTGAGTGGTTTGCTTTGCTTCAAATGTTAGATTATGTGATGAATTCAGTTTACAGTAGTAGTGGCAATACAATTTGATAGAACCTCCCTGGAGGCTGTTCTGCCCTTTGGGGTAGTTGGATAAAGCCTGAATCAAATCCAGGGATGTCGTGGCATCCTGCTGGCTCAGTGTGTGAAGAGTAGACATGGCATCCTGGTTTTTGAATGTAGTCCAGGATCATTGTCTTTTTCTCAGGCTTCCTCCTTTTTCTCCTTTTACTGTTATCTGGATTCGGGATTTTTGTGGCCAGTATCGATATTTAACTGCATAAAAATAACAGTAAAAAACAATAACAATGCATTGGCTGATAAAAAACACATAACATAAACGTTTTTGATCCTTTGAACCTAAACGTTTAAATGTGTAAACGTGTTAGCTAACAGTTGCCTGTATACACATGAGTAGATAAGGAGCAACATAAGCATCCATTTGAAATTATTTTTCTGGCAACAAATTTAAGTCCATTATTTACTCTCACTTGTAGCTCTGTTTTGGTCTCCACCAACTCCTGCGGCTCTTTAGCTGCTAAATTCAACTCCAGAGTCAGATAATTCTCTGTGGATTCATCAATACAAGCAGCAAGTTTTACATAGACACATAGTTATTTGATCCTTTGTTATTATATCAAAGTATTGATTTATAGCCTTAAAGATTTGTGGCCAAGATATAGAATGAGTATGACATTTTACATGTGGAAAATAAACAGTTGTCTGTGTCGGACAAACTGTGAAAGTAGCATCACTCTCTCCTAACCATTTAAAACATATCATTTCTGTACTGCAATATATCAGTCAAGCTCTAAAAGAAGGTAATGATAGCATTTTGTACGCCATACGTATGCTGTATTTGAATTTGGTAAACTTCAATGTAAAGGCTGCGGTTATTAACTGCACAGAATTTAAATTGGTGGAGTTGTAGATTGCTGCATTCTAAATTATTCCAAAAAAGATAACTCCATCCACTGAATTAACAAATAACAGACAAGCATTACTAGTATCAAGACATGGATTCAAATGTAATGCCGGTCACCAGAAAATCTCTTCAGCATTTAAGTTTGTATGTAATTTAATCTACCGTATAATGTATGCATTCTAGTTTGTGCATGTTGACAGACAGGGATATAAGTGTTCCATACCCATTAGACTTTAAAGCCATTCAAGTGAGTCTGGTATAAAAAAAAAAATAACCTAATGATGTCATCTTTGCGGGAATGTAATGGTTAAAAGAGATGCGGTATAGTCAACTGGTAATCAGCATGTTGTTAATTTGGATGTGGCTCAATTTCTGTTGGGCCATATGTCATGTGCTCAAGTCCATATCAGCCAGATAGCAAGATCAGGCAAACTGGTCTCTGTGTATACGTGTGTGTGGAACAGTGTACAGTTTGATCAATGTAGTATGTTCCGTATGTGTGTCTCAATGAAAATCAAGGATCCCGTTAGTATTTCATGTGTGTTAACGTGAGCGAAGAGGACACTGTTAATGTGAGTTCATCCTTTTCATGCAGTTTTGCCTTAGTGTCTGTTGGCAGACCCTGGCAACCTCAAAAGACTTTTCACCCTGAACCATTGAATGCATTATTCTCTTTGTTGTCTTTGTTTTCCTACTGTAATGTTATTGCACCCTGTAGTAGAACCTGCTGCTAAATATAGCTAAAATAGTATTTATATCCAAAATCCAGGAGATGGCAATGAATTCCCCCCTAGAGCTCTACCAGAGGGTGGAGACAAATGTGTATTTAACCTCTCTCAAATCTGACCGCAGGCCAAATACTGCCTGCAGTGAGGGACCTGGGGATTTACGTTTTTATGCAACCAACACCATTACATCAGCATGGTCTTATCTTGTTTCGGTGTTAAATAGTTGTAGTTGTTGGATATGTTAATTAAATGTTCAACATAAACCAAAGTGATGATTATGCGTGGGGAATTCTTGGGAAAATTATTAGTGTGTCAAAATGTGTAAGTACCTTCTTCTCTTCTTCTAGTTCTTCTCTTGATTTGACCATGTTTGTCTCAAAAATAGCAGTAAAAGCATATAAAGCAGCAGCAGTACTCCGGTAGCTGAGTGGTTAAGATGCACAACATATAGGTGCAACGTTCACAGTTTGATCCCGGTTCATGATTTTTGTAACATGTCATCCAGCTGATGGTTTTGCAGCTGGCTCCTGCTTTGTGTTTTGGCTCGTTGAATTTGAAATGTGCTGTACGTGTAACGTGATGGATGTGGCCAACAGGAGCTGAGGGAGCGCGTGCTGAGGGGAAAGTACCGCGTTCCCTTCTATATGTCCACAGACTGTGAGGGGATCCTTCGCCGATTTCTGGTGCTCAACCCCGCCAAACGCTGCACCCTAGAGGTGAGAACACATAGCACATAAGGCATAATGTACAGTCCCCTCCAAAAGTATTGGAACGGTAAGGCAAATTCCTTTGTTTTTGTTGTTCACTGAAGACATTTGGGTTTAAGATCAAAAGATGAGTATGAGACAGGAGTTCAGAATTTCAGCTCTCATTTCGTGGTATTCACAACTCAGGACATACCACCCTTTGTTTGAACCCACCCATTTTTCAAGTGAGCAAAACTATTGGAACATGTGACAGATGTTACTTGTTGCCCAGATGCTGCCTTTTAGGTTGATTGTCCAAACATTAAATAGCTCTGCATGACTAGACTAAGTTTTCATCCTTGGTTCAAACCTATAAAGACTGCATTTCCTGTTAAAGAGGATAAACCAACATGAAGGCCAGAGAGCTGTCTATGGGAGAAAAGCAAGCCTCTGTCAAGCTGAGAAAAGAAAGAAAATCGACTGGAGTCATTAGACAAACATTGGGCAGAGCAAGCGCAACAATTTGGAATGTCCTGAAAAAGAAAGAAACTACTGGTGTACTGAGCAACAGACGTCCAACAGGTCGGCCAAGGAAAACAACAGTAGTTGATAAAAAAGCCTTGAATAGCATCACAAATGTAGAATGCAACAGTTTGGTGATGTCGATGGGTCGCAGGCTTGAGGCAGTTACTGCAAGCAAGGGTTATGCCTCCAAATATTAAATGTTATTTACTTTAAGATTATATGTTCCTTTACTTTTGCTCACCTAAGAATGCTGAGGTCTAATACAAAGGGTGGTATGTCCTAAGTTGTTTAACACATTTAGATGTGAATACCAGGAAATAAAAGCTGAAATTCTGAACTCATACTCATCTTTTGATCTTAAACCCAAATGTCTTCAGTGAACAAAAAAAACAAAGGAATTTGCCTTACTGTTCCAATACTTTTGGAGAGAACTGTACCTCATATGAAATTCAAACACAACTGAAGCTCTTCTGTATTTCTGTTTTGTTTACAGCAAGTCATGAAGGACAAGTGGATAAATACAGGGTATGAGGGGGACGACCTGAAGCCCCATATAGAACCAGTTGAAGACTACAGTGACCCAGCTCGCATAGGTGAGTCAGCTGGGCCTCTGTTACTGCAGCTGCAGCTTGGCTGCCTGCCTGCCTGCCATTCTGGTTCAAAAAGTGTACCAAGATTTATTCATCATAACTAACCTGGTCAATGTTTTATATCACTGTCTCCTTTCTTACCTTTTCACATTTGGTTGTTTGTGTTCCTCAGAGGTGATGGTCGGGATGGGCTTCACTCCAGAGGAAATCAAGGACTCTCTGCTCAATCAGAAATACAACGAGGTCACTGCTACCTACTTACTGCTGGGCCGCAAAGGCGATGTGAGTTATATGGATCTGCCCAATATTTATTTATGCATATAAGGTATTTAGCTGACATTCTAACCAGACTGACCTTTTACTTGATCGCTAATTTTGCAGGCATAATTACTTATCATTTGGGCTGGGTATAATTGATTTCTATCGTGTGCCAAATATAGTACTTTGTTGACACCTTACTTTGATGAATATAAACATATTTTGCTCCAAAACCCCTTATTAATATCACAATATAAACCAACCATTTTATTTAATGTTAAAAGAAACAGCCATGCAATAAGTTTGCTTAAATGAAGTACAGATTATTTGTATATCTCCAGTCTTTCTGTCTATATGTTCAGTTCTCTCTGTGTTAGCTGCTGGAATCTCCCACGAAACTCCACCACCTATGCATCCTTTAAAATGCTTCACAAATATATTTGGCTATATTTGTACAGACATGGACTAAAGATGTTCCTCATTCATCTATATCAATGCAATGGAAAAGACTGTGGTAAAATATCACACCATATTCACAGAATTTGATTATCAGCTGTTACATTTTAAATGTGTGTATTGACTTTGCGTAACCCAGGATAAGCTTCTTAATGAAGATTCACCTAATTGTAATCTTTGTCGTATCAGTCAGGGACGTTCCTGCATCTGTTATATCTGGTTGGGGTCAGGTTAGTAAAATGAATTCTAAAATGACTCTGAATCATGAATCTGTGTTACCCTGCTCCCGACGAGTAATGTTAAGTGATTTTTCTATTCTAACTTGAAGTTAACGATGTCCCAGAAAGGATATAGATTAAATCTGAATGTACTACAGCCAAAAGGTTGCAAGCAATTACATGGAAAAATTCACCTTCTCTTTTGCTCTGTCAATGTTCTGGTGCATATATAGATATATTGAATATGGAGATATTGTTTTGGTGGTTTAAATAAACTTGATTGATTATCTGTTGCTAGGATCAAAGGGCCAGTTTAGAGGGCCTGGGAAAGAGTACTTTAGACAGAAAAATTTTTACAGAAAAATTTTTACTTTCATAAAAAACATGTATCTGGTGCTGTATTATTATGTTAAAATGTGACATTTACCCACCTTTAGGGCGGAAGCGAAGGGTTGGTGGGTGAGTGTGTTGGTCAAGGGTAAGAATATGTTGGAAAAAAGTATTAACCAGGAAAAAGAAAATATCCGGTTGAAGAATAAATAAACAAGACTAAGAATCTAATAAAGTGCTACAGTCACGTCTCAGTCAGTGCTCAATCAGGTTCGATACCCAACCCCTCTTATTGGAATTGTGATTCAAGACTTTGGTTTTGGGGGGACACGCTGACACCTTTCTATCCTATATCACTGTGACGTTTCAGGAGGCCAGTGAGGCTCGCACAGCTAGTAGCCTATCCCTGGCGAGGGTACGACCCAGCCCCATCACCAACGGGACCAATAAGCACTCCTCGGCCGCTGGCTCCTCTTCCTCCTCCACCTCCTCCTCACATAGCAAGACCCAGCGCAGTGCCTCCACCTACCACAGGCAGCGACGACACAGCGACTTCTGTGAGTCTCTTCTCTAACACCTTCATTCTTTATCTCTACCTGAACCACACATTTACGAAACCTCACACTCTTTTTTATTTTTATTTTTTTACACCTTTACATCCTTTTCACACCTGAAGAGAGACATTATAAAGACTTTCTCTCATGAGTTGTTACAAAGATCTTAAGTAGTGTTACAGTGCAGTATGGAGTTTAAACTAATAAGAAACATGTTAACCTGGATGATATAAAAAATATCCTCTTTGTGAGTCTCATCATTATTGTTTACAGAGGACTGGCTGTCATGCATATCCCACTGTATATGCAGAATATTCTTTATATGAGTCTCTGTGTGTCTGTGCTCTGCTGTCCTCCACAACAAAGGCGGGCCTTCCATGCCCGTCATGCACCCCAAACGGAGCCCGACCAGCACGGGCGACCGGGAGCTGCGGGAGGGACGAATGCCTTCACGTAAGGCCAGTTGCAGCGTGATGGGGAGCCACAGCCTCCCTCCCTCCAGCCCAATGGTCAGCAGTGCCAACAACCCCAACAAGTCTGAGATCCCAGACCGCCGCAAAGACATGACTGCCACCACAGTGAGTGACAGATTTCCTCCTCAAGTAGGGAATGAATAGCATCTTAATCTTTCTCTGTGGAGGATTTGTCGTGTCCTCCACTGAAGTTGGAAGAACGACTTCTCAACCCGGGAAATGGGACCATCCGAGGAGCATGGTAGATGATATCTGCCTCTTCCCTTATTCCTCTCTCTGTAGAATAACATCCCTGGAAGTGCCATGACACGCCGGAATACATATGTGTGCACAGACCGCTCGGGCGCTGACAGACACTCTCTTCTGCAGAATGGCAAAGACAACAGGTATCATTTGGTGTTGGAGGTTTTAATATTCCTATTTGTCAGTTGATATGGCCACATCTGGACATATCATATAGAGCTGCTGTAAAAACAATAGCGTGAATTCTAAAATCATAAATTAACTTAAAATGATATGTGCAGAATGGATGTTCGAGTCATTTTGCCTGAAAGGATTTACTTAAAGAGGCAGCGCTTGTCACCTTCAGCTGTTCCGTTGTGGAGGATGTGTAAAAGTCTGAAATAGAACTTTCCAGTTTTTTGTGTCTTGAAAGCTTTCCGACTTAGTTTCTACAGTGCCACTAACATTATGCCCATGTCTCAGACAATACAAATATTTCCTCCATCTTGTTAGCCGTAAGGCACTAAAAGCTAGCATAGCTGAAAGACAATGATGTATAGAGATGTACAAGATTCTGTTACTGATGCTGAAACAAAATAAAGCCATGAATACTTCAAGCGGTGCTGCTTTTTACCTAAAGGTTTATTTATCCAATAAAATTATAACTTGTGCCATTTAAGCAAAAGCTTGTGAAAAGGGGAGTTTACCTAAACAAAGTATTTACATAAAAAGGCTGATGGGCTAGCTTAAGAGCCAGTTGTGTTTCTGATCTGCAGCTCCCTGGGACACCGCATGCCTGCAGCGTCTCCCTCCACGCTCAGCATTGCTGGGGCCGGAGCTGCCTCCTCCTCTTCCTCTTCGGACCGGTGCCGCCTGACCCGAGGCTCAACAATCCGCAGCACCTTTCACGGGGGACAGCTGAGGGACCGCGGGCCCCCGGTCTACTCAGCCCCACCCACTTCACCAACCTTGTCCCACCATGACGCCAGCCCTCTGCCCCACGCCCGCACCAGGGCAACCTCCAACCTCTTCACCAAGCTGACCTCGAAACTTACTCGCAGGTAGACGGGCGCCACGCCTGGTCACATTTGTGGCCAGTAGAACACCAGTTACACTTATTGAGAGAACATTGATACCACTCGCATATCTGTCCGTTAAACATGAAGCTACAGCAATGAGACGATTAGTATAGCTTAAAGATATAGCATAAAGACTGGAAGCAGGAGAAAGACCTAGCCTGGCTTTCTAATTAACATTTTTACACTTTGTTTTTTTATGGATTAAACAAATGAGATCTAACTTGTTAATTACTGAGCTTTAGAGGTGCTGGGAAGCAGATTTTGTTTCCTTGTTTCTCTTTCCAGTCGTTTCTGCTAAGCTAAATTAATCATCTATTGGCTGTAGCTTCATATTTAGCGTACAGACATGAGGGTGGCGTCAACAACTCAATGCAAGAAAGTGAGTGAACATATTTTGGAATATATCAAACTATTCCCTTATCTACAGATGTCTAACCAATAATACCAGGGCTGAAATTTAAAGGTTTTTGGTTTCTACTCTAGCTATTTCTTTAATTTGTCAAGTAATGAGCACTTTGAACCTATTTAGAAGGGAATTTTGTGTCAGTCAGACAAGATCTTAATTCATAAACCTATTGTTACAATATCAGCTGCAACAAGCCTTCCTAACTCTGTCCACTCAGCAAGGCTTTTATTTTTTTGTTGGTTCCCACATGCTCTTATATGATCATACGGAGAAGGGCACAAGGGCCCTGATTTTTGCATTCTGTGTTTCTGGTAGCTTTAAATTTTTGCTGTTTAGAATTTTAGGCTTGTTTTGCAGTTTCTGTGGAAAGGTTGCTCTAAAGAGCGTTGGCTCAAGTGTAAAATATGTCTTCAGAAGACAAGACTCGCAGTAAATAAAACCAGGATATCCAATACACGATATGAAATCATGTAGCGTTGTTGTGAAGTTTCAGCTTGAGCACAGCCTGGGTATGGATCCATGCTTATCAGAACATTTTAATCACCCAGGCCTTTTGGCAAGCCCTTCTGTGGCCCCGGATTATCCTCTGCTCCCCTCTCCCTCTCCCTCTCAGTCGTCATAATCACACATGTCTAATCTTATCAAACCTCAGCTCTATCCTTGCCAATCAGCTCTCGTGCTGTGCTCTTTTCCACAACTTTCTGTCTTACCCCCCCCCCTGCTCTTACCCCATATTCCCTCTTTTTCTTCATCTTTATCTCGTTGTGCTTTCCCCTGTCATGGCATCAGGGTCAACCTTGACCCGTCCAAGCGCCAGGGCTCAAACAAATCAGTCTCGGGTTGTACTCTTCCACAAGGATCAAAAACAGTTAGTAAGTTCCCATGTCTCTCGCTTCTTTCTTGTCTGCCCGTGCTGCCCCATCTGCTGCCTGATCACACAGGAAGTCCATAACTGCCTGCCTGACTTTTTCTTATAACTATCTGAATTATTGCCTGTCTGCATGATTTGTTAATCATCTTCATACTGTCAAACTCCCACACACTTGGTTTCAAGCATGGTTGCAATCAAGGAAGATTCATTAGATTTTTTTGTTTTTAACTTTCAGTTTCAGGATCATTGTCATCGTCAGTAGAGACTGGTGCATAAATGGCGTTTTATGTTTTCATTTTGTGTTTGTGGTTAATGATCATTGAATGTTTATTATGTGTTTGGAAGAATGGATGGGAGTGTGTAGCACTATGCACAGAAGTGATGAAAAGTCACACTTTTACATCTGCATGCTACAGAATTGCGAGTAGGGCTTCAACTAACAATTTTCATTCTCGATTAATCTGTTGATTCTTTTATCGATTTATCAGTTAGTTGTTTGGTCTTTAAAATGTCGGAAAAATGTAAATGTGCGTTCCTGTAAGGTGAGGACGTACTGTTCTGCACATCACATGTTTGTTGTTGTTTATGCTTGCTTTGAATTCCATCTTATCTGAGAGTTGTGGGTTGATCATAAGGCTCTTTGTTTTAGATTACCTTATTTTGCCTGGTTGTCCTACAGGGTCACAAATGAATCTGAGGGAATCCGGAGATTTGCGATCACAAGGTCAGTCCACTTGCTTCTAGCTGCATTGACAGCACTGAAAATAGCTGATAGTTATTTTCTGTTTTCAGTGACTAGCAGTGGCAGCCGCAGTCCAGTGCTTGAACATTCTTCTGTTTTTCACCTCCTGCCTAGTTGCGATCTACCTGGGTATCAAAAAGCGTCCGAGCCCCGGCCCTTCGGACGTGGCTGGGATCTGAGAGGTGTTGGGCGGCGGGACCCTGCGGAGGTGGTACTGGCTCTGCGGGAGGCGGCGCTCGGATGTGGCTGCCAGGTCCACCATGCCGGCCCCTTTCTGCTCTCCTGCACCCATGGCGTGGCAGGGGGCCGCGTGGCTTTCGAGGCCGAGGTGTGCCATCTTTCCACAGGCACCTCCGAGACTTCTAACGGGGTGCGCTACACGCGACTCTGGGGGGCACCACTAGCTTTTCGGGACATTGCCACGCAAATCTCTAAGGACCTTGAACTTTGAACGCAGGGTGTGTTTGCGTACCAGTATGTGTTTTTGTGTGAGTGAGTGTTGGTGCGTGTGCAAAAGAGAGGGGGTGGACATAATTGAAGAAAAACATAATATAGCAGAGAAGGGGCTAGGGGCTGGACCCAAGATAGAAAGACTTCTCCTTATGTCTCTATCATGACTAACACCCCCCCCACCCCGCACACACAAGCTCACACACAAGCTCACACACAGATACACAGACCTCACCCCTAAGTCACACAGACGGAAGCACCTCCTTCCACCCAATCACACCACCCAGCTCAGCCAACTTCTTCACTGAGCAACTGCACCCACTGGACCTGGATCAGATGGAATCTAGTAATTTTTTATTGCTACTCTAGCCATAATGACACTTTATTTTGTTATTTATTATTGATCATTGGGTTTTACCCACTGTCACTTTCACACTACAGAAAAACATAATCTCTTGTGTCTCGGACGTCACTGACCAGCCAGTCCTTTTTTTAAAATGGTTCTTTTATATGTCACCTATACGCACGTCATTTTTTCCCCTTAGCGATGACGTGATTATCTGATGACCTTTTATCACCTGGGGACAATAACGTACACACACACGGAGATGGTCCAACTCAGTGAGCAGAGAGGCAGCCACAGAGGGTTGCAGTGCTTTGATTTGTGTCCATACAGCAGTGACGACTGCACTGGATTAAGGTCAGTGGGAGACCAGTGTTGACAAGTCTTTGAGACAGCCAATCAGAGGCTGACCTGGAATCCAAAAAGCCAGTGACATCTTCCACTTCAAGACAGGGCTGTTGCCTCTCAGTCACATTAGCTTCTCTGCATGCGACTAGGAGAAATTAAAAATGTAGTTATTTATTAACAAATAAACCCCTTGGTTAGCCATTTTTTAATGCATACAAGACGATGAGAACATTTTGGTGCAGTGATGCCATGCTCCATTTTAGGTTCTTGTTACAGCAATATCAAAATTAAATCAACTTTCATACCTTTCTTGTCACTGTGAACGTTTTCTATGCTGGCTCTCTAAATGAATGAATAGAGACGCCTGTGCGCACACGCTGCTCTCTGGTTGGCTGGATTCACTCTGTCAGTGCTGGTCATCGCTAGTAAAACTTGGTCAAAGCATTTGGATTTTTCAACCTCCCACCCCTTTTCATCCATTTACCTTTCTTCAAGGGCATTGTACTGAAGACATGACAGGAGAGACACATACTTGAGAATATATTTCAAACTCAAAACCCTTCACTGTTGAAATCTCTGAAGGTGATTAAAGCAAGTGTGAGGGACCTTGCCCTTATAATCTGTCCGTTGTCCCACCACAGATACTGTTTATTTTCAGCGCAATGCAATTCATCAGTTGCAATTCAGTTCTGTGCCATGTGATCTCACCTCAGCCATCTTCTCAGTATGTTGATGGGGAAACACCAAAAGCAGATCAGCCAAGCAACGAAACCTCTCAGATCACACACTTACCTTCACACACACACACAAGAAAACATACACCAAATGTCCACCCTCTCCATTTTGCGGCACAGTCACAAACTGGTCTGTCCATTATTGATGACTGCGGGCTGTGGGGATCAGGGGGGGAGCATTCTGAATCTGGAAAGGCACGGTGAAGGCAGTGTGCACAGTGTTTTCTTTTTGTTAGTCCAGTTGCCTTTAAAGTGAACAAACCCCGGCGCCTTCATACAGTACATATATAATGTATAAAAAAAGAGACAGACAGAAAAACTGAGAAAACTTTCTATTCTCCCTCCCTGTTTTTAGTGAATAACGTACTGTGATATTTACGTAGGCTACAGAGATCATGTTGTTTGGCTGCTGATTTACTGTTAATACTATCTCTCAGTTGTGGCTTTGCTCATGGTGACCCAAAACACCCCACTAAACCACCCCCATTTCCTTTCATCATAAACTCCCCAATTCCCTAGATTTAACAGGGATAGCTGTCCACCATCTTTGTATGTACCACCGACTTTTTTCTATCGTCACAATGAGCGTTTGGCTTTGCTCTGCTCTTCGTTTGTGACCCTGTTTTCTCACAGGGAAACACTCAGCCATCATCCACACTCTCACATTGTACACCCTTGTATGACATCATCTCAGTTCCATTTGGTGTGCGTTGTTTCATGGAGCCCAAAAAGGGGAGACGGGTGTTGACCTGTCCTCCTCCTCAGGGCGAAAACTAGACTCCAATATGGACGCCAGGAGTCTGTCCTTGTCCTCACCCTGGACGTTTCTCATTGTGGTGTATATTAGCATTAGGTAATATAGACCTCAATGCACTTTGCTTTGACTTGAATCAGCTCCTTCCAGTGTACCTGTATAGGTAATAACCAGAACTAGCCACTGGAGGGCGCCAATGTCTTAAATGTGAAACACTTCAATTTGTGGATATTTGCACAGGTACTTTATTTATTTTTTAGAATAATATCATTTAAAAAAACAGGATTTATATCAGTCTGTTGATGGCTGCATATAAAATATATGAATATAGTATATATCTTAGAGCTCAAGGTTTATTTATAGCTAGAGCAAGGGAAGTTATTCTAGTTTAAAGCAGATTATGTCAGTGACAATGGAGAACAAAACCAACCTGCAATCCTGCATGACTTCAGAGTTTGAGTTTTAGGGGAAAAAATTAAACATGATGCACACCTAGGATTGGAAGCTTTGTGAAATGCAGATGTGATTGTTTTTAGACATGAACTGATACACAGAAATGGTGCTAAATGTAGCGCCTGGTCCTTTCCCCTTTCACAAATACAAACAGAAAGGCTTGAGTGAACTTCACTCCACCTTGTTTGCTAGCGGATAGGTTCAGTATGCTCAAGAGGGCTTCTGAGTTCTTAGAAGTATTTAGATACGCTATGAATGGTCCACAAGATACAGTGTAAAAGGAAAAAAAAAAAAAAAAATCAGTTTTAGATCCAACAAGGATGCTTCCATTGGGGAAAATTGTGCAGTTTGGTTCTTTTTTAACTTGAATTTGCACCAATCCCAATAAGTCCCTGACATGTTGAAAGCCCTGGGTTGCTATCAAGCCATAGAAATGTAATGTCACTGTCTCCTTATAGCAAATATGAATCAGGTTGTTTGCGAAGCATTTCAGTGGAAATTAGTGAAGTGAAATGGGCTAAAAAGCAAATAACTTTGTGTAAAACAACTCACTCTTAGTATAAGATATATGAATATTGTCTTAAGGTGGAATCTACTGTGAAAAATTCTTGAAAAGAGTTTTGTTGAGTGGAGTGTTGAGTAGAGAGACAGTGTGTCGCTGGTCTGGTTCAGATGGTGGATGGTACAGTATTAGGGACCCCCGGGGGCTTAGTATTTAACATGCACTGTCATTTCAGAACTGATTTTGGAAACAGTTGATGTTATATGCAAAAGAGACTGAAGAACACAAACAGTTTGACCTGTATGAGTAATTTTACACTGTTTTACTGTTTAATTCCTCTCCTCAGAAACAAACTGTAAACTGAGATTGAGTGGTTGTGGTCTGATAAGGAGAACATGGAGCTGAAGATTAATAAAATTCACTGATGTTGGCAATTTTTCCTTCATTTTGGTGTTTTTATAGTTACGACACACAACCTAAATATTTGTTAATAGCTTTTGATCATCTGATGTGGTGTGAGTGAATCTACGTGGTAAGCTCTGAAAATAATAGTTCATTTTTTACCCCTTAAAGCAGATTGTCACGAATTTGCATCATGCCGCTTTCATTCAGACTGCAGCTGAGATAGCATATGTACTGTATTCCCCCAGTGCCAGTTTCTGCATATTCGATACATACCAAGGAACCTTTTGCAAACACTGGTTGTCACCAATTTGCATCATACCTAAATTTCTAATTTAAAATGTATTATATGTGCTATAGAGAAATTAATAATCTGCACTTCATTTTGCAGCTTGAAAACAAAAACACAATGAATATATATTTTTCTATAATTGTAAAGGCGTCAAGGGGTTAAAATAGTTATTTCTCAAACTGCAACACAAAATGACAAAAATGATTAATGTAGTTGTTTCATGGGGCACTTCTTTATTGAGCAGTATGAACATCTTCAATAATCATTACTTTTTATTACAAAAAGTAGGTAACACCACGTCTGCCAGGCGCGCCCAGCTCAGTGGAGGCTGATCCCAGGATGTTACTAACCAACACTGGAGAAGGTGAAAAAAAAGGTAAAAGGACGGAGAAAAAAGCTGGAAGGAAGAAAAAGGTGCGCAGAGCCAAGAGTCTCTTGGTGAGCGGCTGTTTCTTCTGTACACCTGTCAGCTGGCTCGATTGCACATTAATGGTCACGAGAATAACAAGATTGTCCCTCTTTACTTCTGGGAGGGGATCATGCTGTCGATGGCCTCTCCCTTCTCCAGCTTCTTCTCCATCTCCACCATCAGCTTGACACCATCAACCACCAGCTGGACCTGCTCCACCTCAGAGGAGCCCAGACGGTCAGCGTTGGAGATGTCAAACACACCACCAACGGAGGCAGTGTCCACACCACCTAAAGAGGAGAGAGGACAAGGGATGAGAAACATCACACCCTAAAGCTCAGAACGCCGCAGAATCTCAGTAGAGATCTTAATGGACCTGCCATGCTGATCCACAGGTGCACTCACTAAAGAGTAAAAATATTTGTACCTGTGCCACGCTTCTGCAGACGCAGCCTGGTGAGGATCTCCTCGAACTTGGCGTGTGTGCTCAGCTTGGGCAGCTTGACGTGGACGCCACCACGCAGGCCGGTACCCAGGTTGGAGGGGCAGGTAAGAACGTAGCCGATATGCTCGTTCCACATGAAGCCGTGGTTGTGCTTCTTGAAGATCTCCTCAATCTGGCAGATAAGAAAGAACAAGAGTCAGAGGAACTACGCTGCTTGCACTCAGTCAAATCATGGCTTGTTTTGACCTGTTATTAACGTGTACCTTCTTCAGGCCAACGCAGAAACGCCTGAAGACCTCCTTCATGTTGCCGCCCTTCTGCATGGAGATGACACGCAGGTGATCCTCCTCGTTGACCCAGACCAAGAAGGTCTTGTTGTCGTTGTGCCTGGATTGCAATGGATGCAAAGGATCAACATACAGGAAAACACACACACACGTGATGCACAGACAAAATGAAAGTTCACAGCCATACTGAGAGTTCTGAAAAGACAACTATTGGTGAAACTCACCAAATGCCTCTGCCGTCAGGCCAGTCGCGGGCCATACCAGCGCAGGTCAGCAGGGGGGAGACGGGCTTGTCAAACAGGAAGTGATCATTGATCAGCTGCTCCTGCTCGGCATCAGTCATGGACTTCAGGGGGTAGTACTTTCCCTTGAACTCGCCATCCAGGCTGGTCAGAGCTGGACAGACAGATATACAGTTAGGAGACTATATGTTCTGCTGTTGTATAGATCTCAACAGGCAGTGGGAGTTTCTTTGAGTGTCCTCTGTCACTTAACATGGCCATTCAGACTGATTTAGCATTAAATGAACAAGCAGAACAAGAGTGTGTCCCCTTTTTGGTCACTATATATTCCACCTCTCACTTTCCATTTCTTGTGCACAGCCTATTGTTTGTGAAAATCCCACGCTTACTGCCCAACCCTTTGCATACTTTCAAAATATTAATAGCTTACCCTCAACGGACAGCTTCTCAATAAGTCTGCGCTCGCCACGGCTGTTGTGGGGGGGCAGGGTGAATCCCTTGATGCTGCGGCCAGTACGAACACGGCTGGACAGGACATAGTTGGGGTCCAGGTCGTCACCACCCTACGACAAAAGTTTATTACAAAGTTAAAGAGAGGCCACAAATGTAGGGCACTTAGCATCATAATCTGATTAGTTCCTTTTTGTCTAGTTCAACAATCAATAAAATTATCCAGTGTTTGGTTTAACATCTGAAAGGCTTTACCAGTAAGTTATGTTTTCTCTAGAGATTTACATGTTTCTAAGAATGTTAATGAGCCATTGTGCTTTCTGCTCTTTGTTGCACAGTGGGGTGCTGCACCTTCAGGTTCTCGAAGTTCAGGTCGGTCTTGTGCTTGTCAGTGGGCTTGTATCCACCATGACGGTCGGAGATAATGGGGTCAAACAGATCCTTGAAGACCTCGTAGGACTCCTCATCACCAGCAACGCAGCCAACAGTCATGATGAAGGGGTGACCTGAAGACAGGAAACCAATAGGAAAGCAGGAGTTAGAAGATAGGAGGGAAGATGATAGCTGTGAGACAAGCTTATGAGTATTTAATTTGATGATTTTAGTTACAGATACAACTTAGAAATGTTCCCCACACGCACAGTTTTGTTTCATTTAGTAGACTTATGTGTCAAAATGATTTAAAGATTTCTTTGTCCAAACTGAGTCTCACCGGGGTTGTCGACACCAGTCTGGATGACATCATCCAGGGTGAAGCCACTGGGTGTCTGCTTGTCCCTGATTTTGCCATACAGCTCCTTGGTCAGGACCTTGGCCATATGGTTGTTGTGCTTGGACAGGTCGGGGTACTCCTCCTCAACTTTGTAGTTGAGCTTGAAGTTGTTGTGGGTGTTTCCGAAAGGCATGATTGCTTTCTAACACTGCAAAGAGAGGGATACATAGGATGAGCAACTCTAAACAGAGGCTCTGGATGCTCAAAAACCACTAGATCCTAATCTGACACCGTCTGTGAAGGTGATCTGAATGTCGACCCACATTCTTCAGCATTTGGAGATATGGGATATTCTGCAAGACAGCTGCAGTTTAAGTGGTGTGAGCAGAGGTATCCTGGTAACAAGTGACACTCAATTCTCGATGGCTCAAATGTCCAGTTGAAATAGAGGTGGGGAGGAGCGCGTGTTGGCAGGTATTTTTAGCAACAGCACATCTGACTGTATACTGTTTCTTTAAAATGTCCTCAACATATACAAATAGAATTCTCCCAACACATGCACAAGCCCAGTTCTCCATTTTACATGTTGATACATAAATACACACAAAGTAGTCTTTCCTGGTCATGTTTTCACATATGTATTCCCTTTGAAAACCCTCTGCAACTTCTTTGTATCACTGCTCAACCCTACAGGTTAAAACAGTGTATCACTTAAGTTGTCACTATGACTGAACAAAGTCTGACAAGCTGCAGATACTTGCCTCCAGTCCACTCCACCATGATACAACAAGATCTACTATGTACTAAGATGTACTTCTAATTATCTATAGACATATTATGCATGTTATCCTTGAAAGGGTGGTCACATGAATGATGAAAGACTGACGCATGCAATGACGCACTAGTTACATTACCTGAAATGTGAACTGCAATGTTGCAGTTTGGTAAGAAGCCATATTGTTTTTTTGGTGCAGTAATCAATTTGCTAAGAACAATTGTCATGTTAGCTTAAAACCCCAAAATGCATCTTAAAAGTGGAATACTAAATGGCTATAATCAATTAGAGGAAATGCAGGGCCTTCAGGCTGTCTCTTACATGCCTCAAACTGTGAAGCACCTGTCCACATAAATCACTGTCCAAATCAGAGAGCCATTTGCAGAGACTACATACATGTAGTGATACAAGTCAAACAATACAACATCATTGCAGTTACTGCTATGCTAAAGCAACATGTTCATGCATATTTTCAACAGCAATGAGAATAATCTGACCAAATTCAATGACTTCGGATACCAAGTAGGTCTCATTTATTCCAGGATGTCTTATAGATTCAAACATCCAAGAATTGTTGCGCATTAATCCTTTGATTTCATCATGGACTTTCAGTCCAAAATCCTTCTTTGCAGCCAAAAAGAGTATTATTTGCCATTCTAAATGTTTGGATGTTTTTTTGAAATCTCCAAATATCTGCTCCTCCTTGTTCAACTCCACAAAGCTAATAATCGCTGTGATATTTCTTTACCTGCACACCAGACAAGAACAGAGGTAACAATCCTTGGGATCAGATCCTGTTCACCACAGCCAAAATAGGGGTCACCCAACTTTGGAGGTCTGTGCTCCCTGTTTATATACCGGACAGACACTCAGCCATTGGCTTGTCTATTTTAGTGCCTGCTGCGCCCTCATTGGCCAAACCCTCTGTACTGATACTCAAAGAACAGTTTATGAAAGGGACGCATTTACATCTCCGTCATACAAGACGGGTACTGTAGCTGTACCCTCACCTCCCCTCACCCACCTTTGGCCCATACATAGCACCAACTGGATGGTGGGGAGGGGTGGTGTCGGGGGGGGTTGAAGCAACTGAAAAAAGCTGAGCTTCAGTTTTGTCAAGCATGCAGTGGAGATTAGGGGTCCTTGTGTCAGGGGTGAAGGTTGGAAAGAGTTAGTATTCTTTTTACTTATCGAATGGTTATCCACTTACAAATGTTGTCCAGGGAAGCGTTTTGGCCATCTTGATATCTTGAAAGGAGGAATGATGCTAATCCTAAACTGTTAACATTTGGTGCCTGCCCCACTGAAGCAGGATTAGTCAGTTTTATACTATACAAATTATAGATACACCATATTCAACAGCAGCAGCTTCAAGGTTCAAACAAAAAGGAGGACAAACACACTTGTGGTGTAAAGCAAA